CATAAGTATATACACTGCTTGAATTTCAAGCAGTGTATGACCAGCTTAAAAGTATAATTGTTCACACCCATGCCTAAAGAGTTACTGCTTCTTTGGGTCAACTGGAGGGCTTTTCCGGGTTTCTTTTGGCCCAGCTCACTATAAATTGTCAGATTTTAATTTCTCTTTGGTCCCCAAAGCCCTTCTCTATAGAAGCAACTGTGTCCATGTACTGCACTGATGATGACCAACACACCTGAAACAGCTGTTGCAGTTTAGAATAAATGGCTTTCTATTCTATGATATTAGGCTGTTTCTGTACTACTGTATGTACCTGCAGTTCTGGATGTTAATTTGGCACAGGGGCATAAAGGATTGATTTGCGTGGCCCCAGCCATTATGCTGAAATTAGGAATATATCCCTTAATTTTGTGATAGCACTTCTGCCTTGCAGCACTGGGGGTCCCCGGTTATTATCCTGGCCAGGACACAATCTGCAAGAAGTTTGAATGTTTTCCCTGTGCTTGCGTGGATTACCTCCGGGTACTCCGGTTTCCTCCCACACTCCAAAGACATGCTGGAAGGGTAATTGGCTCCTGTCTAAATTGGCCCCGCTAGTATGTATGTATGTGTGATAAGGACCGTAAGCTCCTTGAGGGCAGGGACTAGTGTAAAGCACTGTGTCAATTGTCAGTGCTATACCTATAATAAATAATAATAAATAATAATAATAGATACTTATAATAAATAAATACAAATATTACTGCTTATTTAAAAATATTAAAACACTATAAAAATAAAATGTATCTGATTAAAAAAAAGAAAAGATATTAAACACTAGTTTCCCTGTATCATATCACAACATATTGTACTTTTTCCCAGTTGTTGCTTATGTGCACCAAATCCCATGTTGAAATCTATCTGCATTGCAGTAAATTCAGATAGCTTGAACACCCCCTGCCCCCCATCCCTGGATATCAGCAACACGTTGTGATTAAATTCTAAAGCTCATTTTAGGTCTTGCTGTTATACCCCAGTGGTCTGTCCCATCCACAGTTTCCCCGCTTGACACTTTCGCGTATCTCCACGCTGCAGCTATATAATTGCAGCTTTACGGAGGGTTTTATAATGACGCTAATTACAGTGTCGCTGTGATGAAGGTCCTGCCTGCTAGACAGACTGCGGAGAATTTAGTCACGGAGCCCATCTTTATTTCCAATCCAGTTTAAGAACCTTTCTTTTAAGAACATTATTCCCCTCATATAATCCCAGTCATGGATGATGTTGCTACTCTTAAGACTAAGCACTTTGTGTTATTAGATGCAGCCAGACTGGATGAAATCTGTAATAGCCTCCCTGGGAGCTAATTAATGATCGGTGTGGCTAAATAATCAAAGAAATACCATTGTGCCTAGAGACAGCAGCTTCGGATGTGTTAAAGGGATACGCCACATGGGCATTTTCAGGCTTGATATGTTTCGCCTACATGTACCTTGTACAGATTGGGCTAATTGACTCCTTTGAGAGTGTCCGCTATTTAAAGGAAGCCTTTCGTGGAAACAAAATGGAGGCTGCCATCAGTGACGTCTCATTCTGCAAATGCTAGATGCTTGGCTTCCATGCTGATATTCTTGCTTCAGTACTTCACGCTACTAAAACAGAACAAGTACACAGATTAGAACTTTCAACATGTTTTCACAGTTTGAAGGTCTCTCTCTGCTACCTGTTTCTATGTCGGTTATGCTGTCCACATGAAATTGATGTACTTGCTGTTTACATCTTGACACATTAGAGCAGTTTAAATAACACTGGAAAAATATCAGACGAGGGAGTTGTTGCTAGAAGCAGATCAAATGTTAATTTTATTATATGGAAACATTAAACAGGACATAAAATCACATGTGGTTGAAATACACTTCATAAGGCCCATATCCCACCGTTGATTCTGCTGTTGGAGACATCTTACTAGTGACAAAATAGCTAAAAACCCAATCACCTTCTCCCATGGGTTCACTCCCTCACCGGCAAGACCAGTGAGATTTCATTCTGTTGCTTCTCTCTTGCTAGCAATTGTGAATCTGCAACATTCTAACTAGAGAGGAAGCAACTTCTATTTAGGTAAGGTGGCATACGCACCTTAGTGATTCTGCCGCTGGCAAGGTGTCACCAGCGGCAGAATCGCCATTGTGACATGGGCCTTAGGCAACATCAGTTAGGAAATAAGTGACTCTCAGTGGAATTTGACTGAAGTAGAATTGTATGTTCCATTTAAATTTAGATTATGTATGGATTTTTTTATAAGCTTTTGTGCAGAACATATAGGAATCCCTGCTTTACTTATAGGTTAAACTGTTTCCTTTAACTTTTTCCTTGAACTACAGGTCTGTGATTTTTTTTACAGACCTAAGAAAACATATGAGTAACCCGAATGGTTTAAGCAGGGCTGAGCAAGAAAGAATGCCCCCCACCGGGCTATTGTATTCTGACATTGGCAGGTGTGCCACTTTCAGAGTAGAATAAATGATCAGTTAATGCATCTAAGGGGCTGCAGACACTGTTCGGCTGAGAATTCTAGGCCTTGATCCATCGACAAAAGTCAATTGAAAAATTGACTTTTGTTGAACAGAGAGTTGTCGACAGGGCTACACAGTTAAAGTACAAATGTAGGAAATCATGGCACTCCAAAGATCAGCGTGTAATCATCAATTGGCATATACTAACATCTCTAATGCATTTCCTGCATTTGCACTTCATGTGTTGCTTATTGCGAGTCGGCATGTGCACTCTGCGGGTGGAGTTGTGGACAGACCAGGAGCAGCACTAATTGTGTGTTTACCTGGACTTGAGGGCGAGGTATTGTGGAATTTTGGTTGAGCCAGCGGGACAGCAAAATTTGAGCTTTACTTTAACTTTTGACCGTATTAATCGTATTAATTTGGTAGGTAAAGGACCAATTAATTTGGTAGGTAAGAGGGGCAGTTTAGCCCAAGTTAATTTAAAGCACACTTTAAGTCACATAAATAGATATGTAGCATATAGGCCTCCATTTTAATGGTGTTACCTTAATTTCCCTGTTACATCAGTTGCCCAAATATGAATGTGCAGTACAATAGGCACCAGAGTTAGACCCAGTGCACTGAATAATCAGCATGCAGTAACAAAACTGGTCAGGCACACACCCCTATTGCTCTGCAGTACAGGTCTTTGTGAGGACACTTGTAATGAGAGGTGTGGCTGCAACTCCGCTCTGCCAGCCGAGATTACAACAGTGTAAAGGCAAGATGAAGTCTTTTCAGTGAGAAAAGAAGGTATTTTAAAGCATTTCCACGTCATAACAGCAGGGGTACAGGGCTACAAAGAGATAAAAACAGGTAAGACTTCAATTGGGATTCAAAGTATTTTATCCTTTAACAACCTACATATTTAATTGTGGCAGTTCTGGCACTGTTTGAAAACAGCATGGTTTTAGCTGGAATTGCCTTTTAATGAAGCAGTGCAGACAGCAGCAGTGATGTGCCAAGTGCCTTAACCCATCGCAACCAATCAGATTTTACTGTTCTTCAATTCAAGAACTCTACATTCTAATTAGAAACATTTCCATAGTTTGTAAAGGCAGAGCTGTTTAGATCTCTAAATATAACTTATTCCTATTAACAATTCTGTTTTGGTTTCTGAAGCTGAAGGAGCTAGTCACATGATCTCATCAACTAGAGGTTCAGAATTATTTGATGGGAGCATTTTATGGTTTAGAAAGATCAGCATTTTTGTTTCTAGTCTGGCCTGATCTTTTGGAGGCATGGAGACCTTGTAAACAATAATGGGTATCTTTATTGAAGTTATGCAAAAATGGTGCAGTAGGATTAGCCATACACAGGTTTGTTTTTTTCAGGAGACTCAATTAATCAAACAGTAACCATGACATTCTGTGTAGATTAAAAAGATTGCAGACAACCAATAAAGTCAAAGAAAAGGTTGATAATATGTTAGGCTGGCCATATTTGTGGCAATATTCTGCCAATTTCAACCAAATTTCTCAAGTAGTCATCAGAAACTAAGCAATCTACCTCATTCATCCACTAGGTCAATTTTGTCAGTTTCAATGCAATTTATTAAAAGTTTGGATCGAAAAATTGGAATCAAAATGGAAATTCAATCAAAAGTGATTGGAGTGTTCTGCCACGTTCTATTTCGATCTCATCTCGTTGCAGTTGATGTAATCCATTATTTTGTATCTTCAATTGTTGTGCTCTATCAAATAGTCACGTGTATGGCTAGCTTCATACCGAGGCCAGTTTTTAGATGATTGCAATCATTTCTCACCCTTTTCTTTCTAAGAAATGATCAAATGAACGAAAGCAAATTAGCAATTGTTATTGTTATGAATGAGTCAAGTTGCATATATCTATTTTGGTCATTTTTCAATAAAAGGTAATTGACAGTAGTTGCAATTGCCTGAAAATTGCTGTGCATAACTGGTAGATAATATCTAATAGATATGTTTTTTTCCATAAATAAGTGATTGCACAATTGTATTTTGTACTTTTTATTCTATGGATCTCTGTGTGATCCTGCAGTCAACTGTTATAAATCACCTTATCCTTGTCTTGCAGTGTGGAGGTCAGATTAATGGAGGGGACATGGCTGTGTTTGCATCAAGGGCGGGCCATGGCGTGTGCTGGCATCCCCAGTGCTTTGTGTGCAACATATGTAACGAGCTGCTGGTCGACCTTATTTACTTCTATCAGGAGGGGAAGATTTACTGCGGCAGACACCACGCTGAGTGTTTGAAGCCACGATGTGCAGCCTGTGATGAGGTAAGAAAAGATCAGACTATTCATGTAAAATTTGCCATAATTTTTTTGCGGCAGGTTCTTGTAACTGTGCGAACCGTTCCATTTTTGGTAGTCCATCTATGTTCTTCAGCAAGCAGCAATGAGCACATTTAAAGTTCATATTTAATAAAAAAAATATTGTTACAAAGATATATATATATATATATATTTACTAGCATTTAATGTGGCCCTGTTAGTAAAATAATAATTTCAGAGATTATTGGTGTGAATACAAGTGTAAAATTTAGTCTGTTAGATCAGCCTATTTATCCCACACCATTGAAAAAAATCCCATCGAACCTAGACAGCTTATCTGCACCATCAATAGATTGTTAGAACCCCACTGTCCCGACACATTACCGGCCTCTACACAGCTTTGTAACACGTTCTTAGATGTTTTCACCTCCAAGATTGACACCATCCAGCATTAAATTTTTTCCACAACACATGGTTCTTCCACATCTCTTCCAGGTTTACTCAGGTTTACTGGCTTTTCTCTCTCATATTTCTCTCTACTTGACTCTGCATCTCTCATTAAATTGGTATCTAATATGAAATCTTCCACCAGCAATTCCCACTCATTGATATAAATCGTGTTTTTGTTCTCTCTGCCTTGTTACTCTTAATATAATAAATAATTTATTGAGCAACTGTGTTGCACCAGTGATCCTCAAAGCCACTGTTATCACCCTAGTACGAAAAAAAAACAACCATGGCTCTGGACAACTTAAACAACTTTTGTCCCATATCTTAACTTACCCTTCCTTGCTAAGATCTTAGAACGCGCTGTCATATCTCAATTGTATAACCGCCTGACTGCAAATAACCTGCTTTAAACCCTCCAATCTGTTTTTTGATGACTGCACAGCACAGAAACTGCTTGGTCAAAGTCACTAATGACCTTTTGATAGCCTCCAATTCTGGCTCTCTATCTCTTCTTACTCTTCTTGAGCTCAGTTCTGCCTTTGACACTGTAGACTGCAATCTCTTACTCTCTCACCTTGAAACCATATTTGGATTTGAGATAACTTCTTTGCAATGGTTCCTTTATCTTTCTGATCCTTATAACTTTGTCTCTCATGGTGGATTCCAGTCTGAAATAGGTCCATTTAAATCCGGTGTAACTCAGGGCTCAATCTTGGGTCCATTACTTTTTAATATATACTGTACATGTTTCCATTTGGTCAGCTAAGATCATAAGGCCTAAATGATCACTTCTGCGCTGATGATAATAATAAGATACACATGAAGACTAAAATGCATTCTAGTTTGACTGTTTCTCTTATCCAACTGTATCTGTAAAAAAACACGGATTAATCTCAATTTCCTTCAACTAAACTGTGAAAAGACATAAGTCATGCTCTTGGCACCCCCATCAACTATGTGAAGCCAGTCCTGTAACTCTGTCTGTTGATATTACTGTACTTGAGCTTCAGTCTGAATCTGAATTGTCTGAATTGAAACATCTTGAGGTGATGTTTGACTCTAGCTTAACATTTGATCCACATGTACAGAATGATGTCAGGATATCATTTTTCAATTTAGAAATATTGCTTGACTACTCCCTATGTTGTCATACGCTGTGGCTGGAAAGCTGATCAATACATGTGTGTTTTCCTGACTTGACTACTGTAATGCTCTATTTGCCAGGGTAACTAAATCCACACTAAACAGACTACAATATGTCCACAATTCGGCAGCCAGACAATGACTATGTTTACTGCAAGTGATATTACCCTATACTTGAGTCTTTGCACGGGCTACCTGTCAGGTTTCACATTGAATCCTCATGCTCATCTACAAGGCTCTGCACGGCTTGGAACCCCATTATCTGTCTGAACTTTTATCACCCTACTCCCCCTTTTGTAACATTTGCTCCTCTACTTCTGGTCTTCTGTGTATCCCTCACACCTACCTACAGTTGTTCGGAGGCAGGGCCTTCTCCTGTTATGCTTCAAGACTCTAGAATTCTCTTCCCAAGAACATCAGAGAGTCATCTTCTTTAAACTCTTTCATCTACTCCAAAAACTTTCTCTTTAGACAAGCCTTCACTTAACTGTTCCTCCTCGGGGTTTTTTGTGTATCATTTGTTTTTGTTTCTCTTGTAAAGTACTTTGAGAAGGTACCTTTAAAGGTGCTATATAAAATAAAGTTTATCGTTAAGTTTTTTCATTTAAAAACAAGCCACCTTAAAAAATAAATGCTATGATACTTTACAGTATGGCAGGTAGTAAATTGCATGTGGGTGCATAGAATCATATGTCAAGAGCCTGCAGTGCCTTCCTAAAGCACATCAAAGAGTTTGCTGAATCGGGCTCATGAGCACATGAACTTAGATAAATAAAAACGAATTGAAATGGATTTGACAATTTTGGCTCAGTGGAAGTGTTTCCGGTATTGTATATCAATAGCAGTTGATTGATCATTTTCAATTGTTTCCCTGAGCAATGCTGTAAAACTGAACTCCTGCTAAATACACAAATAAATAAATATTCATGTGGGACCTGTTTACCTGCCAAAGTATTTGTATTTTTGTCCATCCAGAGATTTACACAGTCCTGCAAGGCAGCACAGCCATGACACCACTTTTACTATTATAGACTATAGAAGGGTCACAGTAGTGTCTTCTCTTGACTCCAAGTCTGTTGTCTGGACAGTGAAAGAGCAGCAGCAGTCATTCCACTGCTCTCCTATCAGCATATTCCTTGTCAAAACATTTGCATGCAACCCACCTGATTGGTCTGCCCCTTATTGGAGTGCTGTTTTAACCACTAAAGCAATGAATGCATCAGTGTTGACTAATGGGGGGAAAGCTGTAGAGCTGCCATTGTGTGGGAGTGCGATGTTCCAGGAGATATTTTTGCTGAGCTATATATCCTGGTGAGATTGTAGACATAGCTGCTCTCTTATCTCAGCTCAGTATGCTACGAGTCAGCAGAAGTCACACCGCAGTCCATCCCTTGATAGGATAAAGTTGGATTAAGCCAAGCCTTGGGGATATGTTGAGATTGAAGTTTCTTTTTGTTGCTCTTGTGTGATCTCAGAACACTGAAGGCAGAATGCGGTATATTGTTTTCCCAATATAACTGGAATCTGCAGAACGATGACTCTTATGACAGTTTTACAGTCATTGTAAATGTTTGTGGTCAGATCCAGACGGTACAACCTTTAGTGTTTTATGGCGAGCTAATAAACCCCCAAACGTAAACTAAAGCACAATAAAAGCCTTCATAAAAGGAAGGTATTGGAATGCCCCATCTGTGGTATAGTGCTCTCTCACCAGAAAATTATAACATATATTTTGGAGAGAAGTCCTTCCATAATTGAAGATGTAGTGGAGCTTTCTAAAGAAAATATGGGATTAGATTGTTGTGTGGTCTTGCATTCCCTTTGTAGGGTAAAGGGTGTGTGTTGCCCCTTGGTGCTGCCTCTCTTGCTGTTACCATATGACAAAACACTAATTTACTAAGGAATAAATTAAAGAAAATGCCCCCTTCTTTTCATAGAGTATTTTAAAAAGGAAAAAATGCCAAGAGAAGCAAATAGAAAAACCTGGTACTTCCTGGAATGGCAAGCATGTGACCCTAAAGCTGGCCCCCATGGTTTGAATTTCATCCAATTCAGCCAAAATTCAAGAAGTGGGTCGCCCTGCTGGCAACACCCATTTTGAAAAATTGAAGCGGGAGGTTAAAAAAAGCCACCCCAAAAGTAAATGCAGCCAATCAGCTAGAGTCAATGTTCAGGTATTCTGACAATGAGCTTGCGAGCTGAACTAGAAAACTAGAAAACAATAAACGTGTATTGCCAGCTTTAATCCTATGTGATATTGCTGGTGCGTGCTGATTGGCTGCTCAGTAATCCAGCACTGTCACACGGCAGCGTCGTGAGTCTTTAGCCCTCTATAAGCAACTTGACAATAATGTAAAAACTTGAACAAGACGGCTTGTCATATTCTCAGCTTCAAGTTAATTTTTTTTTTAACTGTATTTTAGGTTTGCGGTTCATTTTGTTTTTTCCTCTTACTGACTGTTTTCACCTTGTGAATAATTTCTCTTCCTCCGCAAAACTGATTCCGTCTCTCTTGTTAGATTATTTTTGCAGATGAATGTACAGAAGCTGAGGGCAGACACTGGCATATGAAACACTTTTGTTGCTTTGAATGTGAAACAATTCTTGGAGGCCAAAGATACATAATGAAGGAAGGACGTCCATACTGCTGCAACTGCTTTGAGTCTCTTAATTCCCTTTTTTAAGCAGTTAGAGCAGTTATATGTTGCCTCTTAAAGGGCATTGCAATTCTGTCATTCTAGATCTGGGGCCTGTGGGAGGTGTAGACCCCTTTGTGTTACTATATGTAGGGGTGTTGAACAGAAGAGGGTGACTTCCAGTGTTTGGCAATTGTATTTATGGCAGCGAAGGGTGTGGCGCTGTCAGAATACTCGAACAGTGATGGCAGTTAAGTGGCTGCTTTCAACGTTCCTCCAAACATTTCCAAACCACCTCCTTTAATTTTCTGATCGAAGGATGCCGGATTTCAAATCAGCTTTATTTGCCTTGCTACCATTTTGTGTTTGCTAATAACAATAGTTTAATCAGCTGCCTGAGTTAACTGGGACTACAGTATTCGAAAGACTGAAATTACAAAAGTTGATGAAACAGCTGGAATAATGTTTTTCTATATCACCCATTAGGGGAAAAAAAGACAAACCCCACAATAGACAAACATTCCATCTTCACCCTGACAGTGGTAGTTAGATTGAAGCCCAGATCCAACCAATTAATTTTGTTTTCAGTTTTGGATAGAATAGGGAATGGTAAATCTCTCTGTAGTTTTTATTGCTGTCTTTGTCCCCACTCTGGAGATTTTCCCTCATATCCTGTGTGGTCACCGGGACAGGAAATTAATGGAACTTCTCCAACAAGAATTAAGAGAGCAGTAAAAGCAGTGGGGAAGAGCTACGACACAGAATTCTATAGTACTGCTAGCAGCCCTCACCATTAGTGAAGAACATCCGTTCATTCTAAAGGCATGGAAAAAATACGTTTTGTTTTTTTTAAAAAACACTCTTTATTAGATATTTGAGTAACTGTTAATAAAATGATCCTCTTCCAGTATCTATATGGAAAGTATACAGAATTCACTTAGGTAAGGTTTTAGTGGTTTGCCTGTAACATTCTTTAAAGCATTACACAATGGTTCTAATACTTCTGACTTTGTGATGAAAGGCAATGAATCATAGCATTCATCACCCACTCTGTTCTATCACTTCTATCACCTTCATGCATGCCTTTGAAGCATCCTATGTACGGATGGAAATTGGACAAATTATTAATCACTGTTAGAGAAGTCTTTTACGGTTAGCTATGCAAAGAAAATCTCATATTATCCCCACCTCCACAATCTAGACCAGGCACCGCCTCTGTTGCTTTCCCAAATCGATGGCTCTGGGATGCCCCAGGAACACCTAAACCCAAGGAATTCACAGATTAAAGCTTATTTGAAATATTTGAAATATTGGCACTCGGCCACACTCTCACTTGTTCTCAATGGGATGACAAGGCACCACTTTGTACTTTTGGGATTTGATGGGGGTGCTTCTGAGCATTGACTTTTTGGATTTTGGGGAGCTTCAGGGGTGCCTTGCAGCATCAGTTTAGCAAGCGAAAGATGGTAGAGTCTTCCTTCTAAAGTTTAGGTTAAGGGGTTTGGGATAAGAGACGCTATACCTATAATGATAAGTTTACTTTAATAAATGTTCACATATACTTAGCATGCTATTTTATCTGACTGTATTCGTATAGTAATATGTTTATTGTGACATCCTAGTTTCTTGTCTTCTTTGTTCTTCTGCAGCGGTAGGCTGTACTGGATGGTGCAGGGTGCGGCACTGACTATAACATCAGTACCACTATCTGCATCAATACACTGTGAGTGAATAGCGCTGTGTTCAGGGGAATACACTCACAGTCTTTCCTCAGTCTTCCAGGCTGAGTGATACTGGTTGTCATTTAACCCGGAAGACTAAGGACATGTTGTGGCAAAGAAGAGGTACTGCGGTAGGCAGCACTGTATTTGTATGTTCTCCCTGTGCTTGCCTGGGTTTCCTCCCACACTCCAAAGACATGCTGGAAGGGTAATTGGTGCCGGTCAAAATTGTCCCTGTATGCATGTGAGATAGGAGCCTTAGATTGGGGTCAGGGGCTGATGGCAATGTGCAGTATGTAAAGGGCTGCCTAAATTGTCAGCGCTATATAAATACCAATAATAGTAATATATTATCTTATCAGCGCCAGAAAGCAGAGTGCATTAATCCATAACACCCAATCTTGTACTGGTAAGACCTCAGCAAAGTGAATTCTGATTGGTTCCTTGCATTTACCATTTTACTTTTTTGCATCCTTAATGGAGTTCGTTACGGTAGACTGAAGAATTGGATTGCCTACAGTTGCATACAAATCTAAATTAGTGTGCATGCACCTGGCACACTAACAATCAGTAATTTGTTTTCTGAATTTTCTGTATTTTGAGACTCTACTAGAGGTAAAATAGCTAAGTATCTGAAGGCGTCTGTCCTTTCTGCCATATGTGTTTAATCCCAAGCAAGAAAATGGTGGTTTAAGCAGCACCGATGTGTACAGTGTCCCAGTGGCTATAGATAAGTAGAAGTCTGCCCCAGTAAATGTAATATATTAAATCCTAAGCCATTAGGAGGACCTGTCACATTACAGTGAAATTCCCTCGGAGCGAGCGAGGCCTGCGTGGGGAGGGGTTTAGCGATAATGGGGTGATATGGGCACTTTTGTCAGCACTTACCATTTCTCATCATTAATGCTGACATTGCTCTGCAGTTACCTCGTTGCCAAGGGGGAGAATATTTTGCTGTACCGAATACATTAGCTCTCTGCAGCCCGGAGCTTCTATAAATACATTGTGATGTTCTAGTTACTACGGTAACAATGCATTTTAAAGCGGTATAGAAAAATATAGGATACGTCGCTGCTGCATCACCCGAGGACCGCAATCTTTTGCCCCACGTTTGTTCTTTATGAGATTTTAATAAGATTTTTCCTCCGACAGCCTCCAGCTCCGTTTTAAAATAGCGTCTGTAGTGCGTCATCCCTTCGGATAAATGTAACTTGTTTAATAAAAGGTTGCTGCCTTTGATTTGCAGTCAATGTATTGTGCCGATGTTGCAGGCAAAGCCGTCCTGTGATTAAAACGGAGACAAGGAAATTTCAGACTGCTTATCCTTTTACTGGCGTTCCAGCGGGCTCATCTGTGTGGACCTCAGGGGAGATATGCACTCAATAGCTGGAAGGGAAGGATAATATAAAAGATTGAAGCACAAAAAAAATAAAGTGTGGTTCCAGCCAAACCGCTAAATACGCAGTAAAACACATATGTAGAGAATGTCTAACATGCCAAAGGATTTGTAAGGAAATGCAGATTCTCTTGTGATCGGCCTACATCCGCTCTGCTGTATGGCTGTATAGAACGTGGAGGGTGACAATATTCATCAGAACCTGCACTTATGTTAACTTTGTCCCCCAACCCCACCTCCTGCTTGCTCATTGGCCAGCTGGTGAACATCATCCCACTGGTGGGAAGCTCCTGAGCGCTGCTGTTAGCTTTTCTAGGAACCCCCTCAACAGACACTCCCATTGCAAGCCTAATTGTTTCTTTAAGCTGGTGTGAGGCTTGCTCCCATTTAAAAAATTATATATGGTGTAGCACTTAATAAGTACATTTGCACTTACAGTTTTCTCTACACTGTCCCACAAAGAGCCGTTGATTCTGCCAGTAATGTGCACCAAATGCAGCTTCCTGTGATGGGGTGGCAACAGTGCTGCACTTCTCCTAAATTCAGAGCAGAGTTGTCACTCATTTTCCTCTGTTTGGGCGAGTAAGAGTCCTTGCACAAATACTCGGTATGGGCACCGATACCAATACTTAGTATCGGTATCGGTGCACCCCTTTACTGGGATTAAATAATATTGCAGGGGTGTGGTTGCCAGCATTGTCGCTACCGATTCACAAGCCTGAGCTTGTCAATGACCTGACCACACCTAGTTCTGCCCACTGCTTTGTAGATTGACTGCACTGCCCTTGTTGCTGAAACCTTCCCATTGTAAGCTGCAGTGTCTGGGAGGGAGAGCAAGTGAGAGACAAACGAAGGATGGAATGAAGGAAGATTTGGCTAAGCCAGGGGAGGAAAAGGATGTTCTTTGTACACTTAATGAGACGTGTATCAAATAGTAACTGGATTTGTTGCTTGTTTAGACTATCATACTGGAGCCTTAGTACAAGTCTAGTTTAAAGATACTCTGTCACTTTACCTATGCAGGGCAAAGCGGCAGGTTCTCTTGAAAAAAATAACCGACCCCCATTCATTGCTACTTACCATTCCATGCCACTCCATACCTCCACCAAAGTTGAGAATCCAAGCTCTGTATAAGCCTCATGCCAAAACCTATACAGGGTTAATATCTATAACCATCCTGCTCAGGTGACCGTTTTTCGGCTTGGACAATGGCTTCTCAGGCCTGAGCACCGCATCCTTGGAGGAGGTCACATGCTCCCCACACCCAAAAGGACTGCATACTATTATAACAAAGTTCAAGCAAATGTAGTCCATAATGACTTACCATTCATACAGAGGAAATTTTTTTGTGGGTGTTTGTTAATGTTCTTTTCACAGATCTTTTGTGTAGAGTTTCAGATTTCCTTTCTGCTTAAAAAGAAACAGCTCCTCATCCAATTTGTCTCTACCCATGGCAGCTGCCATCTTGTCAGAGCCTAAAGTGACAGTTCTGAGTAAACAGCAATAGCAGCTCTGCCACGCAAACTATGGCAGCCCTGAAAAATGGCACCGAAAGAAAGAGGCATTGTAACAACAAGCAAGCACAGTTGCGTAAATACATGGCCGGATTGCCCGGATCTTGTATACTTGTTTGGGTCCTAGGAGGCAGTTTAAGCAGATTGGGTTTTGAGGGAAGTACGCAGGATAAATAAGAATCATTTGGCCCACCCAGCCTGCGCGCTCTGTACTCGGTGCAGCATCTATAAACCTCCTTTGATCTCAGGTCTCTCCTGCTAAACAGTAATTGCTCACATTTCTAAGTGTCACCTCCAGTCATTTTCACAGCGTGCTCTATTGTTGATTTTTCCTTTGAAAAACACTTTCCCATCTGTGTTTTTTGGAAGTATCTTTTACATCCTGCTCTTGCTTTTCTTTATTAGCGAGAAATGCTGTCAGACGTCTTATCTGCAGGGCATATGGTTGCCAGTTGTTGGAAAGTAAGGGAGGAAAAAAGTTTGCACGTCTCTGTAATATTTCAGCTGGATGTATGATGGTTGCTTCCATACTGGACGTTCAATCATTGCTTTCCAGGACTCTAGAAGTGATATGCAATTGATTCCAAGAGGTCTGGCTGGCAAGGAAGATCTATAAACTCGATGCACCTGGAATAGAGATTTTTCTCATGGGGCTGGCTATGTATGTGTGAGTGTTTTAAAGCAGAACCCCTCTAATAGCTTTTTGGTTTTAAGTTTTGGGTGGATTAAAGCAGGGTCTAAATTTGTGCTGGGTCTTTTTGTCTGCCCCTTGACCCCAGCTTGGTATTCTGCCTCAGCTGATAGAACATTAATACAGTAGGAGGCTCATCTGTTCTGTTCTTTGAAATGATGTGCTGTCGCTTAAAGCTGAACTCCAGGCAAACATAAATACAACTAATTTGAATGGTGTTTTTTTATATCTGCCTAGACTTCAGTTTTGAAGGGCAACTCCAGGTTTCCCTGCGTTTTGTGTATATATATATATACATACTTTTTCCTGATGTCTTCAGGCTGACTATGTCATGTGCATTGTCCTCTTCCTCTTTGGATCTTCTCCAGCAGTGGGAGTTTTTGGTGCAGAGAGCAGCACTAATTTGATGCATCATTGAATGTAAGTGCAAGATGCCCTCAGGGATGTAGGTCCATGACACCCTTCACTCACAGGATGTTCTTAGTCTTCAAGGTTAATAACTTTAGATATCATTCAACCCTGAAGACTAAGGACATCTGGTGGTAGAAATGAATTATTGTGGGGGATATCACCACAGCTGAATATTACAGTCAGAGCTGTTTTTCTAGGGGACTATTTACAAAAAAATGCCCAGAGTTGGCCTTTCAAGTGACGACAGAAACCTTGGCCATCATTCCCAGGCTAAGGCTCATTGGGTGAAATGTGATTGTCCAGTCACTGTTGTACAGCCTAATGCCACAGTGCATCTCACTCCTTCCTCTATAGGTATAAGCATGTAGGCTTGTCCCATATCACTTTGCATGTTTGTAGGAAAATCTTACTAGTTGGGGTGCGATTGCAAGACCAGCCACCATCTGACATTTAAGACCAGCCACCATCTGATGGTGGATCTATATTTTTTATTGGCATGGGTAGGGGTGGGCAAAGGGTAAATTGAAAGATGTTATTTACTGGACTGCTACTGCCCTGTTTCAGACAAAATGTGAAATAATGAATTTAGCAGCAGTTTACATTAAAGTAATATCCTGATCTTCAATGAAGTTGAAGGGAAGGATTGTGAAGCTAGACTACCAAATAAATAAATTTACCTTGAGTATTATTTTAAATGTCTGCTACTCTTCTAGAAAAGTAACAATTTTGTCTGTGAACTAGGATGGTAAAACACGGCATTTAGTCTTTCTCAGACCTTTCCTCTATGGCCCTCTTTAAAATATAATGGAGAATTTCCTCCCCATTCATCACACATAACAGAGACATATTCCACATCTTGCAGCCAAATAGCTCCTGGGAACGGGCGACATAGCTTCAAGAGGATGAAATATGCTTCTCAGTGGTAACAGCATGTCACTAAGGAGTTTGGTGAAAAGTCAATGCTCTAGTCACCACAGTGCACAAATGCAGAGCCTGCGGTGTTCTGTCTGTACCTGGAATGTATAGCGGGAGTATGCCAGTGACGAACTGGAGAAAAAGGTTGCATTGCAGGACACTTTTCTCTTCTGGCCAGGGAAAGACTGGAAACTTTTACACTGGGAGGCCAGCACAATCAACTGGTTATTTGATGGTAGGAGTAGTTTCCTATGGGCATGAAACAAAGTGGGAGCATGGGGAGAGTCCTTGGCCATGTGTAAGCACTTAATTTGAAGCTTACAAAGAGTTTTTTTACTTCACTTCAGCAGAGGAGCAAAATGAAGGTGAGTATAAGAAGGAGGAGGAAAAAAATAACTGAGCTTGTTGTTTCTCCCTGTATGAGCAAAGTAAAAGTTCACTTTAAACAGAGCCACTCAGCCTGCTGCTCTGCCCAAGCACAGATCTTGTCTTTTGAGAGAGAGCACTCAATGCTAATACTTCCTCCTTGCTTTGGGGGTTCACTCTCCCTTTCTGAGGTTATTAGGGCTGCAACAACTAATCGACATAATCGATTATTGAAAAAGTTGTCAACTTTTTCAATCATCGATTAATCGGCTTCAGATTGGTTGGCCCTGTTCACAGCTCCACACACGCTGCGCGCCACACCTCCTCCCCACCTCACGCTCGCTGCTGCCAGACCCGCCGCATCCACGCTCCACACGCCGCACCTCCTCCCCGCCTCACGCTCACCCAAATCCACGATAGGCACAGGGACACGGGGAGAAGAAGGTAAGGAGGAGCAGTTGTGGGCGGATGATAGCTGCCGATATACAGGCCCGATCTCAGAAACAAGTTGCTGGAAGACTGCTCAGGTAAGCCTGCACTCCTCTCCCCCCCACATGGTGCTCTATAATGTATTGCTGGGATAGTGGGATTTGTAGTCCTCTATAGCTGATGGTACATTGTGCTGTATATTATACAGAGCATGAACCCGTACCATCAGCTATAGAAGAGTACAAATCCCAGCAATACATTATACACTGTATGTATAATGTATTGCTGGGATTTGTTGTACTCCTCTATAGCTGGTGATATTCTGCATTGCGCTGTATAGAGGACTACAAGTCCCAGCAATAATACATTATACAGCGCAATGCAGAATACCGCCAGCTATAATGTACTATTGCTGGGATTTGTTGTACTCCTCTATAGCTGGTGATATTCTGCATTGCGCTGTATAATGTACTATTGCTGGGATTTGTAGTCCTCTATAGCCGGTGCCATTCTGCATTCATTGCTGTATAATTTTACACTTTCCATTTCACTATATTGCACACCACACTATCTTTTTTCTTTTTTACTTCCACCGCTCCAAGCTTGCTCCTGTGATGGACTACAACCTCAATACAAACTAGTAGTCCCATCACTGGAGCCATTTTTTAAACTTTATTTTATTGTTTATCCGATTAACCGATTAATCGAACTTAATAATCGGCTAACTAATCGATTTTTAAAATAATCGTTAGCTGCAGCTCTAGAGGTTATCATTGACAGTAAAACAGGAAGATTGCTGCAGCAGGTTAAGTGATAGAGGTGACTTGGGAACTTCAGTGTATATAGTTCATTATTGGATTCCTCAAAGTAATAAGAGGTTTTCCATAATGAGCGTATAAACCCTTGATATCTAATGCATGAAGCGGCGTTTTGTGAATTAAATAGTTTGACCCATGAGACACTATGATATTGCATTACAAGAAAAAATTAAATACAGCTTTGAATAATGTCATATGATGAAAGTTTTCTATGAGCTACTTTGTTTTTAGAATCCCGCTAAGCCCACCACTTAAATTCTCCTAAATCTGATTGAATCTTATCTCTTGTTTTACAGGTATTGACCAAGGACAGATGACCTATGATGGGCAGCACTGGCATGCTACAGAGACCTGTTTTTGTTGTGCCCACTGTAAAAAATCACTACTTGGCCGCCCTTTCCTGCCCAAGCAAGGCCAGATATTCTGCTCAAGGGCATGCAGTTTGGGCGAGGACCCCAATGGCTCTGACTCTTCAGATTCTGCGTTTCAAAATGCCAGGGCAAAGGAGACACGACGAAGTGCTAAGATAGGCAAGAATAAAGCCAAGCTCGAAGACAACAACATGAACCAGCTACATGTAGCTACCAATAGACTTTCCACAGACGTCGACCCTCTCTCTTTACAAATGGATTTACTGAGTGTATCGAGCCAAAACCCAAGCTTGAATCGTGATAATCGATGGAGGAGCAGAGATGAACTCTATAATTATGGCAACAAGCTAGAGAGGAGTCAATCCCAGAGTCCTCTGCAGCTGCTAAGCCAGTGCAACATAAGGACTTCCTACAGTCCTGGACAGGGAGCCGGCGCCCAGCCAGACATGTGGTCAAAGCATTTCAGTAACCAAAAAAGAAGTTTGTCAATGATGAGTCACAGTGAGAGCTTCTCTCAAGATGGCAGGGAGGATTACTACCAAGGGAGACTACGCCAGCAGGAAAGTTTTAGCGATGCTTCCACTCACAGTTTCAACGAAGCACGATCAAGCCTACGAGTTCCAGAAAACAAAAATCTGAATTCACAGCAGTGTCGAACAAGGCATCCAATCAATGCACTTAAATTCACTGAAGGGTTGACCCCCACCGAACAAACTCCCAGAGGTTCCATGGAGTCCCTTGCGTTGTCCAATGCTACAGGTAAGACCTCAGCGCTGGGGTTTCCCATTGTCGCTTTCCTTAAATGTATTGTTTTGTCAAAGCGAACATCATTCATGCAAGTGTCTGCGAGAAGAACTGCACAGATTCCCCACATTTGTTACCCAAATGTATTGTTATGAGTAATATTAGTAGTTATAAATTAAGCAGTTTCTTTTTTTCTTTTGCGTTTGATGCCCATGTCTTGACCTACAGTAAACCTGTACTGAAAGAGATATGGAGGCTACCATACCTGAACATTAGGCTCGTTGCCTAACCATCTCGCACTTCAGTATTTTTTATTTACAGACTTGGAGGAAGCATGCAACCGGTAAAGTCAAAGTGAAGCCAGACCTCCTAACTATCATACTTGTTCTGATTCAGTGACTCAGAGTACTGAAGCCAAGCATAAAGTTTGAGTTCCACTTTAAAATAATAAATATTTGTCCTGTTCTATGATGGTATGGGACTCATTCCGAAGGGGAGGTGGGCTGGTGTCGCCTCACACACCTCTGGCTCCCGTCTTCCACAATCCTAATTTCCCCCCAGGGGGATCTCCTGGAGCGTTCCATTGGTGGCAAGACAAAGGTCTGTACCGCATAGCACAATTCTTTAAAGGTCGCAAGCCACTTACTTTGACCTACTGTCGGGAGGCCTTACACATGCCATCTTCGGAATACTTTCATTACAGACAATTGTTACATTTTTTAGGTTCTTTGAAAACACCTAACGTGATGTCTCCCTTTAGAACAACCTACGAACAGTGGTGTCTTGGAGCCGGGGGCCAGAGGGGGGGAGTTTCGCTGCTCTATTCCCTCCTGGTAGACTCTGAAAGTAAATTACCCTATATGTTAGCTTGGGAACAAGACCTGGAAAGGGTTATTCCTCTGGAGGTCTGGCATCAATGTTGTTCCCGTGTGTCCTCAGGTCTACTTAATATTTCACTAATAGAAGCTAATTATAAGGTTCTATCTAGGTGGTATATGGTCCCTGCCAGACTAGCGAGAATATACCCAGAGGTTTCTCCTCATTGTTTTAGGGGATGTGCACACTCGGGCACGATATATCACATATGGTGGGAATGCCCCAAATTGAGACCTTTTTGGAACCGGCTTTATGCTCTAATATTTAGGGTTACTGGGGTGAGAGTCCCACGAGATCCCCAATATGTGTTGCTGAATTGCCCGATTCCAGGATTGTCTAAAGCTTTGGATAAATTAATTAGTTTCTTTCTGTTGGCAGCCAAAATAACCATAGCTAGGGCTTGGAAAACACCAACAATTCCATTCCACTTGGTCAAACAAAAAATGTCGTGGATTATGGTCCATGAGAAACTTCACAGCATCCTCCAAGATAATAAAAAAAGTTTTGAATTGACCTGGACCCCCTGGTTGTTATATACAGAGGTGCTGGAAACCGGGTAATTTTCATTGTTCAACTTTTCTGGAATTTTTCTCTGGGGACTATGTTTAAGGTTTAAGTAGATGTTGGGATATTTGGTCGGGGATGGAGCTACTCTTTTCGGACTCTTAAGCTGTTCTGCTTCCTTTAGTATCTATTTCTTTTTCCTCTTTTTGTCTGTTTTTTTTTTTATTTATTTTTTTTCTTTATGCTCACACATGTGAGCCGCTTAGTACATAGATGCTGGACAGAAAGTCTCCTATTTGATATAGATATGGAGGAGATCATAACAAATGTTTGCTTCAGACATAGGCGGATCCCTAGGTCAGATATTCCTCTCAGACTGTTCTAATTTTTGATTTTAGTGATGGGGGATAAATTGGCAAGAATAGGTGGATAGATATGTTCTGTTGTACAGAACTACTATATATTGTGTGTATAGCCTCTAGTGATCCCCTCCTACTACTTGATTACGCTAATGTGGAAGAAACTGTAATGCAATTGTATGTTATACTGATTGTGCATCATGTGCTATTTTATTGTCTTATTGTAATTTGGAAAATTAATAAAATACTCAAGAGTTAAAATAATAAATACCACCTTTTGCCTCTTTCTGGCACGTTTCATACTGTAAGCAAGCAGCAAAAAAAAGGACAATAGTTTTTAGCTTCCGTGCTTGTGTATACTTGCACAGTTTCTTAAAAAGTCCACCATACCTAATGGAAGATGTCAAATGTTGATTTTTTTTGCCATAGTTATATAAGTTGAAAATTAAACACATCCTTTGAGTTCAACGGGAAAAAAACTTGCATGCAAGGAACACTAAATCCGCAGCTGAGCCACAGGAAGGCAAAAACAAACCCTTATAAAGCTTTGTCCAATTAGTTCTAACAGGGAAAAAAATCCTTCCTGATCCCCAAAGGCAATTGGATAACTCCTTGGATCAACATTTTACAATATGGTATTTTTTATAAATACTAATAGCTGCTTATATATTGCACTTTTAAAGCACAACCAAACCATTTTTTGAAAACAATCTGTTCCATTGGATAGATCGAGTTTCTGACATTTTCTCATATCTTGTGCTCTCTGCATTTGATCGCTCTGCCACTTTGGACAGATTTCCACACTAGTCAAGAATGGATGATTAAAGATCAAACATGATTTAAGGCCTAACTCCAGCTCAAACATGTGTTTTTGTTAGTTTTGAATGGGGGAGAGTTACAACCTCTATTCCAAAATGGTTGCTTTGCCCTTTTTAAAATATATTTGAAGCCAAATGTTTTTTTTAATTAGTTCTGGATAGAGCAGTGAATAGTTAGATTACCTGTGAAGTTTTTGTGTTGTCTGTCACCACAGGGCAGAGTCACCCTCTTTGTTTGCCCTGGTGACCATTGTGACAGGGGCTGAAATTGAGGGAAAATCCAAAATTTGGAATTATTACCAAAGCAGGAATGGGGAGGAAATATGTTTCCCATGACAACTGTCTACAAGGGATTTTCCCCTTCCTGTTGTTTCTACGGGGCAGGAAGTAAAGGAAAATCTATCCAATGGGACACTGGTAGTAGAAGTCAGGGTTTTTTACTACTCCCTACTTACTGTATATGAAACCAAAAAAGTCTGGGCTTTAGATGTAAGCTTAACTCAGGGCACAATAAACGTACCTGGGATAAAGCAGTTATACACTCTGTTGCCACAAAAGCATCCCCAACCCCAACAAAGCTTTATTCTACATCCAACAAATCTGTTTGTTTACATTCAGGGTGGGATTAGTACAGCTTCCGCTGTTCCTCCAGCCCACTCGGATGTAAGCGCCACAGGTCTCATATACCCCAGTGTTTTGAAGGTGTCTCCGCCTCCCTCTCCTCCTGGTTATTCACAAAATACATGGCCCCAGGCTTCATTTTGTAAATGGCTAGGAGGCAAAAGAGGTGGAGACACAACCTCAGCCCTGGGGTCTACGAAACCTGCAATGCTTACAGCTGAGCAAGGCTAAAGTACAGCACGAGTGCTACTTATCCCAACATGTATATGAGCAGATTTGCTATATGTAGAAGAAAGCCAGCATGATGAGGAGTTGCATTTGTGGAGGAGTTGCATTTTATTTGTAATGAATAACTTCTTTAATGGGGGTTTATAGTTTACAGGTCCTGGATTCGGACATTAAATAGATCTGAACTCTCTTTTTGTTCTGGTAACACCGTGTTTGGAAGCAAGGAGAAATGGGTACACAGGCGGCAAAATCTAACCCTTTCCTGATCTATCCAAAGCTATAAAAAGTATAAAGTTGGGTTTTAACTGTAATAAATCATTATTATTTATCTCCTAGTAGAAGTAGAAATCCACCTCTTCTCCTTCCTGTGTGAAAATATCAGGTTTTGGCTGTGTTGTGCTTTAACTTAATTGAACTGGTGTCCTAGTGTGACTTGGCCACAGATCCCTTCTTGGGGGATAACAGAAAGGGGGAAGCATTGTCTGTATTAGGGCCTTGTACATCTGCTGCAGACAAAAGGTCTTAGGTCACTTTCCTAAAAGGCTTGCCAAGTATTCCTCCATTCATCTAATGTTTACTTTCTTTCATTCTTGAGTCAGGATCGGTTAAAAGAGTTCAGACCTTCACTGGTAAAATATAAATTACTAGAAGTAATAATTACGTATTTATATGTTTTAATGGAATAGGAGATGCCTCAATAAAATGGGGAGTAACATGTACCTACCTGCCTGTAATTTAAAAGAACGTCACCTAGATCTGAAATTTAGTTGTTGCTTGGTTGCTGACAAGTTGAATCATTTGCTGGCTTCTTATACCTGCCACAGATTCCAGTGGTGAAATAGCTAAGAGTTCCCGGTTACACCCAAATATTGCAGCCAATACAAAGCCACATGACGATGTCACAGTTCAGCAATGGATTCTACACTGGGCATCATAAACAGATGACTAGGGAATCCAGGTTTAATTGTTCTGTAGTGGGATGGAGGGGTAGAGAGACTATACAGTATGCTGTAAAGAAATATTGTCACTGGAGAGCAGCAAATTGATTCAGCCCACCAATGTGAGTTTAGATTAGAGTTGGCCCTCAGAAACATGTAAAATTGTTTAAAGTGTATCTAAACCCAAGAACAAAAATGTAACATATTGAAGTTTACCAGCCTTTAAATGGGATGGCTGCAGGGCCGATGCTAGACTATTTTGTGCCATAGGCAAGACCAGCTATGTGCACCCCCCAGCCCGCCTCCCGCCACGCAAACGCCCAATCCCTCCTCGCATGGCTCCATTCTCCTGCCGGCTAACTGCCATAGGCAACAGGTGGATGTAAGCAGCTGGGAGCAATAGCCAGATAGCCAGAGTGCTATTGGCTAATTTAATTTGAAGTTGTCACTTCTGCCACTGAGCAGATGAGCGGACCTGAGAGAGAAAGTTGTCTCTCAGTTCCACTCCTTTGCCCAGTGGGCGGGTGCAATAGCCCAATAGCCAGCCTGCCATTGGCTTTTGCAATTTGAAATAGATGGGGGGGGGGGTGCCGTGGGGAGTGATTGGTCAAGGCTAGGAGGCTGCCTAGTTTACCTAGCGGCCCTGGATGGCTGTATTAGTTGCATGCATT